GTAATCTTGCTTTTCAGAAACCATTCCTGAGAGTAACATACACTTAAGAACCACTATCCTAGACAAGTGGTATAGGGTCACGGTTGAGAGGGTGGGTTCCGGGCCACACAACTGTGTTCAAATCCTGGGTCTCCCACTTACTAGCTGTGTGACCTTGGGCAAGCCGCTTGGCCCCTCTGGGCCATAGGTTTCACGTCTATAAATGGGGAGACTGATGCTGCGCCCCACCCCCCTCCAGGTTGCTGTGAGCATTAGAGCGTGGGAAACACTGGCAGGTACCTGCCGTGTAAACATTTCTTATCACGGTGCCCTGGCCCCCAGCTCCATTTCCTCTCCCTGCTCACATGGGGAAGGCACAAAACCCAGCTCTGTGATTTGTACTTAACTTGTGCTTTTCATCTCTTCAGATTGTGTCGGGGCAAAGTCTTGAGGTTTCTTTGTTCTTAAAGTCCCTGAAGTGCTGACTGCCTGACTGTGAAATGGCCTCCGCCCCTGCTCTTACCGACCCCTCAGGCCCCCGTCCTTTTCCTCTCCCTTCTTCTGGTCCTATGCTCACACCAGAAGATACCGTGCCCCCGACCCCTCCCCAAGCCCGCTTCTCAAGGAGACAGAGGTTTAGCTTCCATGCAGACGTTTTCCTTTACTGGAAAATTGTAGAAGTTATTTTAGCTTTATTTTTGTTAAATTTAGTTTGTTTTTCCTCTTCAGAAAAGGAGAGGAAAAAATTTTGCAATGTATATATATTGCCCTCATTGCAAATATATTTGCAATGATATATATATAGTATGTTATATATGTTTGTACATATATCTATTTTATCCTTGTACAGAGTTGGCCCGATCTGAGAGCCAAAAGGGCCCTGGTGGCCCAGGAAGGTCTGGCAAGAGAAGGAAACTGAGGGCTGTTTCTGAGGGAGCTTTAGGGAGCAGCGCTACCTCTGGCATAATCTCTTGGAACCTCTAGAAGCTTCTTTGCCCCTCCCTGCACCCCTGCCCCCGACAGTCATCCAGGCTCTGACCTCCCTCCCAGCACCTTCTAGAATTTCTTTGAGGTCCCACCACTCTACGTGCCCCACTTGCCTATCAGTTCTGTGAGAAGCCCTGGCTGGCCCGCACTACCTCACTCACTGGTGTCATGGCAACGGTCCTCACAAACATACCCAGATGGCCAGATACGGCTTGGTGACAACAGCTCGCAGTGCTGTAACCGGGCCTCACCGCATGGAGGCCACTCCTTCCACACCCCGGTGCCCATTCTATTTGGGGACCCCAATCAGGAGGAAGACCTGTTCTGTTGAGCCGAGGGCAGCTGAGACGCGGTCCCAGAGAACAGCAGTGGGACCCTCACCTCCCTAGCTCTCTGCTGAGGAAGGAGAGAAGGCCTGGGAAGCTTCTCCGGGGATTTCTGGGCTGGTCAGTGCAGAAGCATTCCAGTGAGTCAGCCTTCTGCTTGCAGACCAGGAGCCCTGCCTGGGAAACAAGCCACGCAGTAGCCCTCTGACAATTGTTCCTTTCTGTGAAGAGGTGGCTGTGTTGCCAGCACAACTGGGACACAGAGCTCACACCCATCTGCACATTTGTTATCGATTTACAACAGCTTTAACTCAGCCCTTCGGATGGCCAGACAGCTTCCCTCCTTCTGTTTCTCCCCGTTCCTTCCCTTTGTCCTGACTTTTAAGGATCAAGGACATTTTTGTACCCTCAGAATGCAAGATGGCCCTTGAAACACTGGATCCATATGATGTGTCCTCCTGAAGCTTCAGCTCCAAGTACATGAGTGATAGAAAAGATTATTTTTATATTAAGATATCTGCACTTAGGGGCAAAAATGAAAGATTTCTGAAAGTTTTAAGATAAAGCATGACACTTTGAAGAAGCATTCACCTGCTGAAGGCCTTTGGCTAACCCTCCAGGTGATGTGCTGACTCCTCTTATCCCTGGGAGATTTTGGTGGGAATGTTCGAGAAGTGCCCCTCGTGACTTGGTGACCTTTGACCTTGACCATCTCTATAGCTATTCTTGGAAGAGAAGAGCAGAGAATTCTTGCAGACCACATGTCCAGCAAAAGTGGGAGACAGGAATTTGGAGAAAAGTTGAACAGATCCCAATCTGATACCACTTCAGATACATAGTTAGGTAATCATAGGTAGTCCCACCATGGTGGCCATGTTGATTTGCTGCAATAGGAGAAGAGCAGGAGGCACAGAGGTGGGGATGAGGTCAGTGTTGAGAACCGAATTCTTCAATATAGTTCTCATATTTTCATTTTCTGCACTAACCAGAGCATATAAATTCATGATAAAAAAAGTGTGTTAATTTGTGATTCTATCCTGTCTGAATGCAACTACGCCATACCTAGAACCTTCTAACATGTGGCAAATTAATTACTTTCATCTTTTTTTCCTTCCCAAGAGGCCAAGTAAGAAGGGCGGCACTGGGTACCAGGTTGCTGGTAACACTGGGTGGGTCACATACCACTTGAGTGCTTTTTATTTTAGTAAGCTCTAGATAACTCTTTTGGCCATTCATACTAGCCAGTTATGCGTTGAGGCTCATTTGCAGATTTTCACATGCAGGGGAAGAAAAGAACGCCATTGCCGTCCTTTGGTTCCCAGTGACTGGAAGGAGTGGCAGGCCCTTCATTGACAAGCTGGGCAAATGCTCACACAGTCACATTCTGTGTACACGGGAAGACTGCAGACAGGTTTATGTTGCTATGGACCACATACACAGTGGCAGCTCCTTATCGGTTCTGACGCATTGGGCAAGGCTATAGTGCAGGGGAGGTGGCTCCTGGACAGTGAGAGGACACAAACCACACTTCCAAGTTTTCAACCATTTTCTATTTCTTTTGACCTTGGGCAAGAAACTTAATTTCTTGGCGTATCAGTTTGTATAATGGGGAGAGATGATATCTACCTCAAAAGATGATGATTAGCTTTCAATGAGATAATGTGTGTGCATGGACCAAGCGCAGAGACAGGACACTCTCAAGAAGCCGTAGGGGAAGCAGAGGCTGCTGGACCTCCACAGTGGAGGTGGCTGCACGGGTGGTAGCATTGTTTTCTCGCTCCCAAAACAAACATGCAGAAACTCCCCAAACTCAAAAGACTAACCAAGTAGAAGGTTGAATTCCAGCGTATTCTGAAGGCAGGAGAGAGTGTCCTCTACACAGACATCATGTGACTGGTCACCCCTCTTGTGCTATCCCAGTGGGACACAGGATGGGGCTTTAGCATAATCTCACTCTGAAACTTCTGTTCCTAGAGAACACGACCATCTTCAGGTGGACAAATAAGCTCAAAGGAATTAATTTACCCCATGAAGAGTAGATGATACCAGTTTGCCTTTCAGAGAAGACGTGCCGCTCGCTGCTCCCATAACGTCAGTAACGAGGTCGTTGTCTTCCGAGAGCGACTCCCTCCTGAGTTCTCGCGGAGCTGTAGGCCGCACAATCATGATTCACCTTCTGTGTAATCATCTTGGCAACTCCCTGGGTTGTGCCTTGCTGTCTCGGGGGAAGGAAGAGGCAGAGAAGAAGGGGACGGAAGGGAGGGTAATGAGACGCTAGGCTCACTGGTGTGTTTTGTGAGACCATTCTCCTTCACTGCCATGAGAGTACCCCGCTTTCTGCACAACATTTTATACTCAATTAATTCTTGGAGACGTCACCAGAGACTGGTGTGTGCATACTGAATAAGCCTGGGATGGTTTTTATGTTCTTCTTTGTTTAGCTCATATTTTTGCAGACAGCAGTAATATATTAATTGTTCATTTGGGGCGTAGAAGAGCTATCCTGAAACTCTCGTTATTTGATTTGGTTCATCTGTTCTTATCACAAATGCCATTGGCAACGGGGATCTAGAGCTGAACATCCTACTCTGACATAGTTTTGCATGTTAGATATCAGCTTTATACTCATCTTCAAGTTTCAAGTTCTTTAGATAAAGTAGAGATGAGAAATGATCATTGGAAAGTTGAAAATCTTTGAGATCCCCCGATGGCAGTGGGCGCCAAAGTTCCCAGGCTCTGATTGGTACAGGTGGCATCTGGCCATTTAAATTCTTACTTGGTTCCACTGCCGAGTAATGTAGGGTTTTATATGCTTGATAAATTCTTATTAGACAGCTGTTGATTGCTGATATGGAATCCATAACTTATGCGCCAAAGGAGCGGACCCGGGCTCGGCTGTGGGCTTCACGTTCTCGCCGGAGACTCAGAGGAACTGCGCGTGTGGCTGGGATGTCCCTCCAGGCCCTTTGGGCACAGTTCCTCCCGTCTTCCTGAGCGACCTCTGCAATAGCTCTCAGAAGCACTGGGCTGACAGACCTCAGATGCTGGCTCAGAGATCGATAACCTCATCTCCGACAGTTTCCTGGTCCTAGATTTTTGCTCTTTTGTTTCTGGCTCAGTTGCTGAAGTCAAGTTTTTGTTACAGTTCTTGTGGGGTTCACCAGGTCCTGAGACGTCCTGTCAGCGCTCCTCCTCACCCTCTTCCTCGTGGGTGACAAACAGAAAGGGCAAGCAATAGGATATGCTAGAGCACATGAGGAAGCCATCTGGTGTAAACCCAATTCGGCGTGACTTTGTTCTTCCAAAAGGGCCTGACATGGCCGTTGAGCACACATTGTATATCTGCTTTAAACATTTGCTATGGCAAGAACAAATGCCTTAAGATAAAGGTGCAACTTCCCCTCACATTGGCATTTCCTTAAGGATAAGCATCTCTCCCTAGGTTAGGAACTGATTGCTGTGCTCACCTGTGACCACCCAGCTTGAGACAACAGACCTGCCACCCTGCTGTGTTCACCAAGACAGCAGACCTGCTACCTGCTGCGTCCATCAATCGCTGTGCTGACAGAGCAGTCTCGAAGTTGACTGTTGTAAAAGGGACATTTCAATCCTATGTGAAACATCCCCTTTCAGGGTATATAACCACTCTGTACCCCCCACTTCTTTGGTGCCCTTCCTTCCTTCGGGAAGAAAGGCCCCAGGCCATGGTCCTCACATTTTAGCTCAGAATAAACTCACCCAAATTCTTGTTTATAGATTGGTTATGGATTATTTTCGTCGACAGGGCACATTCTCCTCTTCGTCAGGAGGACTCAGAAGGCAAGCAGGTGTTCTCTCTGAGGTCCTCTCAGGATTGCTCTGGGTTCTGTTAAGGCAGTGGGTTAGATTTGAGCAATTCGTACATTTTAAAATCCAGACGTCTTTTGGACCCTGCCCACAGATCCCCCTGGATGGCTTTTGGCAGGACGGTTTCTCAGTCCTGGATCCTGTTTTGCCAGCTGCTCAGGCCAGCAGCACAGAGAAAACACTTAGGCACACGGTTCAGATGCTTGCATTCTTATCTGAGTCAAATCTATGTGAAAAGATCTCGGAATTTAAAAAGCCAATCAGTGCCTGTGATGTCGGATTGTTTACTGTTTCTCTCCTGGGGACGTTTTCTTGGCATCCTGCTCTGATCCTCTAGGTGTGTCTAATTGTTGTAAAGGCACAGCTGTGTGCATTTGATTTGCCTGAAGGAAAAAAAGCCACATCTTTCAACGTCGGGGAACAGTCTCGAACTTCCCCGTTAGTTCTCACCTTTGAATGTCTATGAAGCCTCAGACTTTAAACTCTTCTGGCGGCTAAGTAGAAAGCATCGTTTTCCTGTCCGTCTCAGAGACCGACTTCTGATGTCTTTGAACTTGTCCTGCAGAAACAAGGATCATTCAGAACTGGCCTCATCACTTTGACTTTTAAGCACATTTATAGCTCAGAGCCAAAAGGGAGACAAAGAGAGAGGAGAAAGGACATCTTTGTGGATTGCTCCCTTTGTGGAAGCTTGTGTGCCCTTTCCTGCACGCTTTTGTGGGGGTATTGCAGCAAAAGATAGTTCTGCCTCAGACGACAATTCTGCTGAGACACAACAGACTCGTTTTCCGGCAGCTGAAACACGCATTTCAACGTTGATGCCCCTGAGCCTGGTCTCAGGGAAGCAGGAAGCCATTATTTTCAGCTGGGAAAAATGTCAACAGAGATGAACGGAATTGGATCGTGGTTGAGACTCTGCTGTTTGTTCAAGTTACTCAAGGTTAATAATGTCAAAGATACTTGCTAAGCAGGGGGCGCAGCCCTCGGGCACTGTTCTGACACGACCCAGTCCTCCAGGAATGCAGTGCGGCTGCCAAAACCCAGCGCGGGGAGACACCTCCGTGAAGAAGTTTCTTCTGAGAACTGCCTTCTTGCGTTAGTCGGCTAGGGCCCCTGCCTACCTGCTCATTCCCCCTGGGAAGCGGTCAAGGTGTGTGAGCCTGGGGGCTCTGCTCCCAGCCCTGGGACTGCTTGTGGTTTCCCCACAGCCTCCGGGCCCCTTCCTACTGCTTCTAGAGAAGGCCTCTCTTCCTGTTCGGGAGATTGCTCCCGAAAACGCTGCTCAGACGGTGACTCAGCCAGCAGTCTTCCCTTACTGGCCCAACCTGATAAAGTACACAGTCCATTCTTCACAATCGGTGCTCACAGAAGAAAAGTGGCTGAAAATAAAAGACACACCCAACCGGCCGCTGGTTCCCCAAACTTGTGCTTTTGAATTGCTGTGGTTTCTATTGTCTGGGCCTGATCTTTCCTAACATCAGCATACCCGCCCCCCAAGCAGCCTTTTCTGCTGCTTTTTCCTAGATATTTTTGCAGTTGTTAGGTGTCAAAGAAGGCCCTTACAGAGGTTTATCTCAAGGCACTATATCATTAAATTAACAGAAAACTCAAAATGGCTTCAGCAGAAAAGGGAATTTATCGATATGAGGTAGTCAGGGTGTCAGGAACGATAGACTTTGGGGCTCAGTTGTTGCAATCATGACCATTGCTGACGTCCTCATATTCTGACTCAGTCTTTCTTTTTATTAGCGTAAAACTCTCAATTCTGTGTGACAGTGTGGAGGTAGCTTCAAATCCAGCAGGAGAGTGACTGTCCCCCTGACAAACACACCACCCTCAGTGGAAATCTCAGGGAGTCTCAGTGGCCCTGATAGGGTCGCGTGTCCTTCCTAAGCCCGGTGTTGAGAAATGCAGTGATCCCTTTGGGTGGCCTGAGTCACACGCCCCAGTGAGCTCGAGGTAGAATCATCTCCCCTGGAAACACATGGACTGAAAATAGGGGATGAACGGATTTCCACATGAAAATGGGAACTGTTTCCACAAGACAGGGAAGTGGAAACTGAGCGAGACAAAGAACCCACACGCCCACGTCTGCAGGCACAGGGCCCTCTGGGTGACCATACCTTCTCAAACGGTGTCGACTTCATGGCGGACGCCGGACTAAGTCTGGGTGAAAGGGAAAGGAGAAGTGGATAGGTGCAAAGATGAATAGAACTCAGTGTCTTAAGTTTTGCTTAGGCCAGAGATGGCACATTCATGGCTCAGATGCCAACACATCTGCGTCTTTTGTCCATGGCAGGCATCACTAATGGGCACTTCTCGTTGAGCCTGTTTATAGTTTTAGAATTCCTCCCATCACTGCGCTCCTGGCAGCCACCACAGATCAACAGATATTGGCACATGTGGAGATACGTCTTGGATTGATATTTAGTGAGTTGGACCAAGCGAACGTTCTCTTTCAGTGTGGTTGGTAAAGTGGGCTGGGTGTGAGCTGGAGGCAGAAGGTGGCCGGTCAGCAATTGACCACGAGTCACTAGTTGTCAGGAAAACCATGAAGCTGTGTGAAGGTAATAGCTGGTTGACTGTATTTGTAGTTTGCAGATATCTAGCTCCTTACAGATACGTCAGTGAGCACCTCACACTCCTTCCTTTTCAAAGCATTTTAAATAATACTAGATGAAAATAATAGTGGGTAACTAAGTTCTCAGTTTTTTTTGTTTGTTTTTTACAACTTTGTTGAGTGTGGGGTGGGAAGAAGAAAATTTTTATTCCACATAACTGTAGCAGAATTAATCCAGCTTTCTACTCTCAATGTTTAAAAAGCACACTCAGCTAGTGTAATGGCAGAGTTAAAGGCCAGATGTGCCATAGAGGGGCATATGGAGCCAGGAAGAAAGGTACAGCACACAAAATCATGACAGAAGTCACAAACACGGTGAGATGCATGCTTTCTCAAGCTCTGAGGACAGCCAGGAAGGTGTGTTAACTGAAAGAATATGAAGTGATGGCCTTAAATGGGTCTTAAACGTTAGAAGTAGGCACTTCTTAACTCATCTAGACAACAAATTGAATCAACAAACATTTACTGAGCCCCTACCGTGTGCAGGTTACTCTTGAATGCTTCGTGAGATACAAAGAGGATAAGATTGTCCCTTTCTAAGAAGAGGTAAACAAACAAATTGAAGATACAAGATTTACAAATAGGAAAACTTAAATAACAATAGAAAGCAATAATTGAAGAGATGTCAGTAGGCAGTAAGTGGTTAATCACCAAATGAGTTACTTGAATAATAATTATGGGAAATTTTTAGGAAGGAGTGATTAGCTCAAGCTGGAGGATGAAGAATCTCATTAGCAAGGAAGTGAGGACTGCCCTTGGCCTTGGGAGTTAGGCTTCCCTGGGAAAGCAGCCTACGGAAAGCAAGATGAATGAAAGGAGCATTTGGAAGAGAACGAGTAAGCATATTTGTCTGGAGTTGATGTTTTGTGCAGAGGAGTGGAGGGGGGGGGGTGGTTATAAAAATATATTGTAGAGGCCAAGCTGAAGGTTTTAGACGTAATCCAGTAAGCGATGGGGAGTTGCGGAAGGTTTCTGAGTGGCACGGTGGCATGGTTGGACTGCTTTGGGAAGGATAATTTGACATAGAGATGGGAGAGAGAATGGATGTAGCCAATACTGGAGTCAAGGAAACCATTATGAGCCTTTTTCAATAAGACTCAGGAAGATAAACGGGTGCAATTTAGCTTGTTGGCAGTAGGACTATAATCAGTATGGTGAAATAAAACAAGACGTGGTCACTAATAAGATACTTTCCATTGGGGAAGGAGGAGACAGAAATTTGACATTTCAGTCTCAAGATATCAGAATAATGGAAGAATCTGGAGAGAAGACAACTCTGAGCTCCGACGAGAAACTTAGGCCTGGTGTTGAGGTTTAGGTGAAGACCCAGAGACCGAGGACAAGGACCGACAGCCCGCTGTGCTGATGGCCAGTGAGGTTTGGGCTTGAGTTCAGGAGTCATCTGCGTGGAGGAGCTGTTTGAAACAATGCTTATCACCCGGCTTCAACAATGATCGCCTAATCAATCTTGTTTCATTCGCCCCACTTCCATCCTCTCCAGCACTTCTTTTCTTGGATGGGGGAGTGTGCTGGTTGACTTTTCCTGTGTCCTCTGAGAGTCAGCCCTATTCTTTCTAACTCAGAGTGTCTTGTTGAGGGTAAATTTGTGATGAAACTGATGGAGTTGAAATTTGAGGAAGAAAAAAACATTGTTTCTTTTTGGAATGTTTTAGACTACTGATTATAACTACAACAGAATAAATTGGTCGATACCTCCCAATCTTGGGCTTTCTCTTGCTTCAGTCCAGGAGATCCCTGAGCCTCAGACAGTGAGTGCATGTGGTGCGAGCTGCCTGTTGGGAATCCCTCTGCCGACTGCAGACGGCCGGCCAGGCTTCTCCAGTGGCCCCGCAGAAGCCTGTGAAAGGCATCTTCGTGCTGATAGTCACTCACATGGGAACCGAAGCTGGAAAATGGGCAGGAACGAACCACTCTGGTCTCTGTGGGAGGCAGGAGTCAGTTAATTGACCTCTGCTCTTCCTCCTTTTCTTTCTCCATCGGAGTTATCACAAGCCATAGTAGAGAGAGAGATCTGCTCACGAGAGCGAGGTCACCAACAGGACGGTGCTCACTGCTGAGGTTTTTAGCAGAGTGGCCGAGACCCGGGCCTGTGTGGAAGTTTAATTCGTGCTTCTTCTCAGGTTTTGTGCTCCACAAAGACTAAAAGAGAATAAACTTATTAATTGGTCATCTTCATTTTCAATGTTTCTTTCCTTTTACTTTTTACTGAAGCATAATATGGATGCAGAAAAGTGTAGATCTACGTATACAGTGTGATGAACTTTCAAACTGAACACACCTGTGTAACCTGCCCCCAGATCAGGAGACAGAATGTTCCTTGCACCAAGGAGTGTCCCCGTGCTCCTGCCCCGTCACCGCCCTCATGCCTCCTTGCAGCACGCATGACCAGCAATGCTGTTTACAATAAAATGGCAGTGGAGGTAGTTTTTAGGGAAAATCCTTTCTTTTCAGGTCCTTCCCCTCCTTGCCATACTCCTAGTGTCCTCTAAAAATGAAGTCAACAATCCTGGCAGTGGGAAGAGTGCCCAGGTAAGAGGCAACGGAACATCGCTCTGGTCTCCTCCTGATCCCAGGCGTTCAGAGCCCATGATGTGAACAGTCACATGACGGAAACTCTTCCTGACCCCATGGCGGGTTTCGCCTCAGTGGCCCCTTTCTGTTCCTGACTGACTCCCAGGAAGCTCCTTGGAGTTGTCTTACTGGATGGTAAAGAAATTGTCATTGATGCTTCGCAGCACTCCAGTAGAACATGCTGGAATTATTGACTCCTCCGTGCATAAGGGGAGAGAAGAAGACTCGGTGGGCCGAGCCCATGTGTGGTGGCCGCCCACGCCGAGGAGCTTTGCTTCCGACCCTTCCTTAGTCCTCTGCTTACTGCTCTGTGTGGCCCAGGCTCTTGCCCGCAAAGCAACACAAGCGGGGCAGAAACACAGGCAGTCAGCGGCTGTCTCTCTCCAGGCTGGGGTCCAAAGGGAAGGGCAGGAAGGAGCAGAGGTGAAGTGGGAGGCTGTCGGACAGTCACTGGCTTCAGGCATGTCGTTACCTTGGGTGATTAAAAAATGTCTTTAAACACCGTTTCCTTATCTGTGATATTGGGATAATAACAGCAGCTGCCTCAGAGGACTGGGTGGGGCCCAACCGCAACAATGCCCGGGAAGTGCTGGGCAGAGTGGCTGGCACACAGTCAACACTCAGCAACTGTGAGCTCGGACTGTTCTGCAAGAACCACCTCCCAAGGCAAGAGCAAGGGAGCTTTGGGTGGGAGAATGCAGCGCTTGACAAACTTGTGAATGCTGGAAACAACTGACCAGGATTTGATTAGTGTATTTCCATCCAGACAAACTTCTCAGTTATGTCTCCAAAATCAAGCTGGCATTTCCTGGCCTCGGCGCCTCGGAGGCCCCACTCCCCGTGCAGCTGCAGGGCGATGGAGGACCTTGTTTTGCTGCAGATCTGCATTTTGGGGGTGGGAGACCCCCTAGGATGAAATAAGGTTTTGGCAGAAGTTATGAAGAAGAAAATAATCCGGTTAAAGTTCATAGTAAGGTAAGGGGAAACTGGATTGATTTTCCCCTTAGACCATTTTTAATTAAAATGCAGCCTCTTAACCACAGACTAGTGAAGCTGCAATGTCTTTCGGGCACAAGACAGGAACTCCCATGGTTCTCTAGTAATTTCCGTGGCTATCGTATTGCCCCCTCAC